ATGATTCCGCCGCAGTAAAATACTTCTGAAAGAGAGCTTTTCAAATCTGCAATTTTTTTCGCGGGGTTCGCCGTAGTTATCGAGATATGGCGATTCTTGTGGGATGAAGTGCCTTCTGCATTGATGGTAATGGAGCCATATCTTTCTCAAAAACGAAAACCCCGCGCTGTGGATAGTCTTATTCGATCGCTGCTGGCGAGAGCTTTCTCACGAATATTTTGGTTCCGCTCAATTCGTTGAAGAAGGTTATTTTTTTTTTCAAAGCACCCGTATTCGGGCTCACACTTTCCGGCACTGTATTCAGGAAAAAAACGGAAAATAATTGACTAGACTACACGAGAGATGTTTGTCCGTGCGCCACGGTTCGATGCCGTCCGCCTGCTCCGGTTCCGCTGCTCCGGTGCCGCTGCTCCGGTGTCGCTGCTCCGGTGCCGCTGTGGCCAGTCCTAGCACGATCAAACTCGACCCGCTCCGCTTCGAACACCTCTCGCTGCTGTCCTTCCCAGTCGGTTCCTCGCTTTCTCCCTCGTTGCACTTCGGGTTCTCGGTCTGAAAGTTCTCGCGCCGAAGGGTCAACCAGCCCAAGCAGCTCGTCGCCACCTGTCCCCTCCTCCTGTGGTGGCAAAACGAGGTTACTGAGACAGTACAGCTCCCTCTAGCAAACCTAGGGCCGTGTGCTTAGTGCCCGTCCACCTTTCTGATGACGTCTGCCTCCGCGCACAAAGATGAGATGGGCATTGCTGCCTACACCCACGGCCTGGAGGCCGGCGCATCTGCACCTTTGTACCTGACGCACCAGTGCCGACCCAACTCCACCACTACGCACGCCTCGCGGCGGGTGCGCCGCAGCAAGAAGGTATCGGTCCCTTAAAGGTGAGTCTAGCTAGCCCTGCTCGCTAAGGTGAGTCTAGCTAGCCCTGCTCGCTAGAGAGACCCCCCCCCTCGCTACGGGTCATGCCTACGCAAAACCTTCCCGAGGCAGCGAGGGGAAAGCGCAGTAAGTATGTGTTAGTGTGTATCACTATCAGAAGTGAGTCACTTTTTTTCCCCTCCCTAATTGACTTTTCCCGTCCACCCCATCTACGGACAGAGGCATGCGTTCACCTTGGTGCCAGCACCAACGAGGGCCTACCGGCATAATCTTGTGGGCTCGCGTTCAGCACTCGTCGCCAAAGATTCGTTCCAAAAACATCAAAATCCCTGGTCGACCGTGTCTCATATCATGGAATGAATTCATGCCCCACACAATGAACGGCGTTCCCACGCTCTTCAATACCTCGATCCATCCTCAAGTTTTGTAAATGAAGAGTGAAACAAGTTTGTTCGAAGTAGCCATGAGGAAAGTCCTGCAGCAGTAAGAATCTGTTCATACGAGGCGCCGAAAGTGAAAATACGGATGGGTGGGAAAAGCCTTCCACGCCAAAGCTGACACACAGCCCTGCGTACAATACTCATGCGCAACAGGCTTGGTGAAATGGTGGTGGTGATGTGATTGTTTGGTGTCCTACCGGAGACCTTGTTCCACACAGACCGCGCCGCGCCTAGCGAAGCGTAATACATTGCGACACCTTGTCGGTACTCAGACGTTCCCGAGCCTAGGCACACAATAAACGTAGTGCAGCAGGTCGCATCGATGAATCTTAACCTCGGGAAAGAAATACAACATGGTGGAGGCCGTGCCACGTTTGTTTGCCGAAGAGGAGCGATGGGATGACTGCCCGTGACACGAAATGTCGGCCAAACGAAACACGTGGGTTTCGCCTTCAAAATGAGACAGTTCCAAGTCTTCATGTGGTACATGCACAGTAGGTGGCACCTGTCGAGAATCTGACATTCTCTTACATCTTTCAGAGGAAAACCCTCTGGGGAACTTGACCGGCTTTCTGAAGGGAAATGGGCGTGTGAGCGGCAGGACCAATAACATTCACGAGGAACCGCCAAACATGTTCCCACCTGCCGATATTGATGGCTGAGTGAAACCAAAAGAAGTGAGCACAGACGCCGCACATGCATCCGAGAAAAAGTACATGCACAAATACGTGCCATGTTTAAAAACTCCGCTTGAGCAAGAAGCCAAGTGCACAGATCATTTCTTCTCCGCCCAATAGTCTAGTTGTGTTGGCGCTCTGGCGATGAACGTGCACGGTCATTTCCAGTCGTCACATTGATCGAAGACCCGAGCACACGGCAGTTCCTCGGCGCCCCCCACGCGGCAAGCGATTGGGAAGCACTGGCCTGATTGCAATGACTACCCAGATCCTCTTCGACGTCGATTCTCGCACCCTGCGCCAGCCTTCCGTCGACCTGAGGTGATCAAACATGCAATAACAGGCAGTGGAGGTTCTGCCCGGGCGTAATAACCATGTGCATGAACATAATCATCGGCATCCCCTTCCGATGGTTACTTACACGACACCAAACATCCACCACACAAAACTCAAGAAGTTCTCGGGAAACGTCGACATAAACAAACCACGCGAACACCTGAGACACATAAAAAGAAACGCTCTGTAGAAATGAATCCAAATGAGATCTAGGATAACAGTAGTCCAAATAGAAGCAAGAGCCGCGTCACACGTACGTCTATCATCACAGCACCAACACTGTCCAGCCGACATCGACAACAAAACCACTAATACAACACTATATGAAATGATACCGTCCAGCACGAGGCTAGTGCAATCTCGTGCCACAACCAACGTCACTTCCCGTCACCGTACCCCGAAAGGGGTAACACCGGACTGATGACGCAAATGGTTGTATCCCGGCACATCGCCTTCCCTCGTCACAGACCCACTACCCCCCAAAAAAAGGGTGCACGAAGAAACATTCTCGCACGCCCAGGTATACAACCAAGGGAAAGAGATCTACAAAAACATTTTTCGAGCTCCGACTCTCGAACGTAATATACAAACTGACCCACACCACCCCCATTTGATTGACATTTGGGTCTCTTTCCTGCTCGCGCTCTCGCCTTCATGACACATAATGCCCCACACATGTGTGGAGGAATCGAAGCTTTCCGTCATCTGTGACGGGAAAATAGCACCAACGGACCCTTTGGCCCACCTCCTCTCCCCACAAGCATGCTGCTAGCGGATGGCAGCATGTTGTCGAACATCGTGTGTGTACGCACATCCTCCACATGGGCCACCATCGACGAAGAAGACTTGCGGCGACTAGAGTGTGAAAACCTCTTCGTGTCGAAGGGCTGAATCCACGCAAGCAAGGGCGAGGGTAGAATCACTGTCGTACCCCCCCTCATTTTTTTTTCATTTCCTTCCTTTTTGGGGGGCGCTGCCTCCTGGCCTCAGTAGACGATAGCCACAACGGTTCTTCCGGCCTACATGGCTCGCCAAACGGTCTACGGTCTCCTTGCCTTGCTGGCCGACGGAATTTTCCGACCTCTTCCCCGGTAATTTCTAGCCTCGCTCCTGCTCTCTACTTGTCGCTCTGGTTGCAGCGCTTGCCAACCTAAATCCCCCGTTCTTCGTTCTCCAGGCATGTTTCCAGCTCCCAGCCCCGCCCCTCGCTGCTGACGACCAATCAATTCGTCGTCTTCAGTCCCACTTCAAGTTGGTCTCTGGCAGGGCGATGCGGCCGTCTCTGATCCACTCCTCAAAGTCCAACTGTGTGACCATGGGAGCGAGAGGGGGGGGTGGGGGGGGCGACAGGGGGCGCCGCAGGGTCATCATGACGTCATCACCAAACCACGGTAAATAACACAGCATGTTTCATTCTACATACTTCGCAGCTTCCTCCTCTTCCCGCCACCATTTGTAGCCCTCCATGTTTGATTATTCAATATTAAAGTCCACGAGCATTCATCCTTCGCATGAAAGCTCACCTGCAGAAATTCCCAACGGCACACATCGCTTTGACAAGGTTATCACCATTGCTGAATGCCCCCCCCGCCCGAGTCAGAACCAAAAAACAACATTGAAAAATAGATAAGGGTGGCAAATAGCCGACCGTGCAGGAGGACGATAAGTACAGACAACGGTAACTCCCACACGTTGCTTGGTGACTTGAAAATAGCGCAATATATATACTACTTCGCAGTCCATTGAATCAACCATGAAATGTATGCTACAAGCACGTTAAGGGGGAGTAGTCGAGAGAGAGGGGTAGCGATATGTGCTGGAGCGATACGAGCGCCAACCGAAACACACTATATATTCACCACGGATGAAAACACGGCAACATGTCACGGGCAGTCGTCCCTCCTGTCATACCGTGTTGTGCGTTGGCACCATACAATCACCTGGGTGGAATATTCCCGGACGCGAGTAGCGCGCTTGTACGGAAAGAACTCCAGCACCCCAGACTGCCCGTCGCCGGAAATCGTCGAGACGCAGCAGCGGTACCACCTCCCGTCGTCCCACAGCACCTCCGCCGTCGTGCCCAGCCCGAAGAAGAGACCGCTCTCCACCCAAGGATGGCCCCCGGCCGCCACCGCTGCTGTCCCCCTTTTCGTGCCTCCCGTTGTTGTCACCGACGCGGGCGTCTCCCCGGCGGAAGAAGCAGGTGAGCGGGAGCCGCCGCTGGTAGCCATCTTCTTCTTCTGCTTCTTGGCGGAAGCGGGAGTAGCGCTCCTGCCGACGCTGCTCTCCTTTCCTAGCATCGACCGGTTCCCCCCACCCGCGGCGCCGCAGCGACCACTAGTCGCGGACTGCTGCTGCTGCTGCTGCTGCTGTAGCTGTGCGACTCCGTCTGCAGAAACGCCTGGGCCCTGCTTCCCGTTGGTAGACACGCGGCCAGGAGTCGGAGCTGGCCAAGGCCTGCTGCTTCCGTTCCCGCGGCTCGCTTGGTGGCTTGCCGGCAATCCCGCCGCATCGCCCCCCCTCCCGTGTTCTCCGCCAGCCGCGGGGCCCCCCCCCCCCCATCGGGCGAACGCATCAGAGCCAGGGTTGCCCGGCAGAACCGCGCCCGGCTCCTGCTTCGCCACAGCCAGTCTTCTCCTAGGGGTGTTCCGGTTCAGCGCCACGCTGAGCTCCCTCGCCTTGCGCTCGTCGTCGTCCACGGCCGTGACGGCGACAGACGAGGCGGTGCGCGAGCGGCGGTGGCTGCTGCTGCTGCTGCTGCTGCCGCCGCCGCCGCCGCGTCTCGACGAAGCGCTGGTCCTAGTCACGCCACCTTTTGCTCGTCGACCAGAACCCGCCCTCTTTCCCCGCTGCTGCTGCTGCTGCTGCTGCTGCTGCTTGCTACCGGTGGGGCTGGTCAAGCTGCTCGGAGCTTCGGCCTCGTCGTCCTCTTGGCAGGATTTGGAGTCGTCGTCGGGGATGACGGTGGCGGTGTTGGTGCCGTCGCCGTCGTCTGCCGTAGTCTTGCCGCTACCGAGGTCTTGCCTGCTCCCCCTGCGTTTCTTCCCTGGTATCGTGGAGAGAGTACCGGCGGCGGCGGCGGCGGCGGCGGCGGCGGGATGGGGGGGCCCACCGGTACCGGTCCAAGTTCCGCCGCCGCGCCCACCGTCAAGGCTAACCGCGGATGCTTCTGTGGTCGTAGCCCTACCGTGCGAAGGCCAGGCATCCCCGCTGCTGCTGCTGTCACTTGTCCAACTGGTAGCCTGGTCCCCCTCCTCTTGTGCATCGTCTTCACAACCCTCACAACCCTCGTCATCGTCGTCGCTGTCGAAGAGTACCACCGGATCCGCGGCCATCAGCACCCTCACCCCGCCCACATCGCCGCCACCAGCACCAGCAGCACCAGCCATCGCCCGCTGTGCTACCGCCTTGCAGTCCTGCGGCGTCCACTCCCACGGACGCCGAGGCCTCCTGTTCATGGATGCGGGTGCCGCAGGGCCGGCGAACGAGGCCGTTGCCGTCGCGACTGATCTCGAAGCAACATCATCTCGCGTTGTTGCTTCAACCGGGGGTGCAGGGGCCGAGTACCGCAAGTCTCTCGCGCGATTCTCCTCGAATTGCTCCGCCCTCTTCGTCCAGCTGCTCGCCACGACCACCGAAGGATGCCCTACTGAAACGGCGGCGCCAGCCCTTCGCTTCTTCTTCTTCTTCTTCTTCGTCGCCACTGCTGTTGTCCTCTTGCCGGTGGTGGCCTTCGAGCTCCGGGCAAGCGTCGCGCTACCGCCTTTCTTGCTAATTGTTGGCATTTCCGTCGAGTTGGTGCCGCTAGCGTTGGTTGGCTTTGTCCCGACGACTTTGTTGGCTTGTTTCCCTCCAGGCGGACATGGGGCAGGAGCAGCAGCAGCGGCGGCGGCAGCAGCGGCAGCGGCAGCGCCGCCTTTCGAAGTAGGCGTGTTCCTCTCCATCAACACGCTGCAGCCTATTGCAAAAGGGGTGGATGAAACGAAGAAGCGTCGGCAATGAGAAAAATCACAAAAAAAAAACGACCAGTATCTCCGTCAGCCTCTGCAATCAGCGAACGAAGCGTACACGAGGCCCCGCATGCAGCACAGGGCATCACCAATCGGTCAAAACTACGGCCAGAGGTGCCATTTCTTACTGCATGAGATGCCAAACCCGCTGGCCCGAAAAAGCGCGATTACCGTAGTAGGCGGCGAGGAGCCAAAATCGAAAGATATGATTTTCGGAAAGCTGTTCACGGGGTGTTCCAGTGACGCCATTTTCGGCGCTATCACGCCATCACTGTCGATTTTGCTGCAGAGTAATCGGGCTTATCGGTCCAGGAGATGTGGTACCATGCACAACCGACGGTAGTGAACTATCTAGAAGAGGCAGGCTTGACCTTGATGGTGCGGTCCGGTGAACCGTGTATAAACTGCCAAAAACTGTCGTGCGTCGATCCGCCGTCCGACTGCTATGTATGCATACCCCCGCGTAACAAACCATGCACATTCAATCGTGCGTGCGTCCTCTGTCCCTGTCTCGTATCTGACCTTCTTCGAGGTCGCAAGCCACGCCTACGGTTCGCCAGTTCGGGTCCGGCTATCCGAAAAACTCGCGTGCTCGTCGGCGCTCACGGAGCGAAAAATGGTCGTATCCTGTAAGCACTAGAATTTGCCACTATCTAAGATCCACAGCCAGTATGGTACTAGCATCACCTCTGTTCCGTACCGACGTGCCATATTGGCGCGATATCCTCTTCGAAATGAGGCATCAGAGATGTCATGTCTCTCCATAGTTGCAAGTACAGCAGTAGCAGCGGTGGGAACGCCGGTATGAGCCCGGCGAATCAACCGGCGCTACTCGGAGGGACCGGCGCGATTCAACAAACAGAACGACGTGGTGATTTCAGTCTATGCCCAGCAATTCACCGGTGCTATGCAGGGCCACCGGCGGTATTCAATCGGTATTGTTGAGGGCCCACTATTGTACACGATTGGAACGCCAACAAGTCAACCCACGCGACATCCTGGAGTGATGCAATTGTATGTGCCGTAAATGATACAAGATAACACACCCCATGGACCGGTTTTCATAGCTCGATTTTTCAGAAGCAGCAACAGTCGCAGGGCCGAAATCGGTGGCGTTGAAGCCGTCTGGTCGGGAGCTCCCTGAAAACGTCTCCTTTCGTCTTTGCATCCTCTTCGTCGTGGAGTAATCGAGCTCTGAAAATCGGTCCAGGGCTTGTGTTGCCTCGTGTTATATACAGTGTCATATACGGTAACCAACACCACCGGTCCAAGCCTGCTACGGACGACTCGCTTCACGTTGGAGTGAGTTCCTGCCGTAGACATGACAGCAGAAGGCGGTTATTCCCACATCTGCATCTATGGAAGCACACCTCTTAGTATTTCGACATGACATATGGCAGCAGGCTGCGTCATCGGTACTTCGACGCTGTACACTTCTCGCGATAAAAATACCTCAGGCAGGTACCGCAGGAGGGGGTCCAGCCCCCCCCCCTATGTGACCCCGGTTGGGTCGTCTAGCTAGTTGAAGTGGAGGATAGGGGCCAGAGGGCCAGACGACAGAGTCCAATGATGGGGGAAAAAAAAAAACTACATCGGACCGCCTACGCAGGATTTTAAGAGTATCTAGAAAAACAATAGGGAGGGGGCACGCAGAACCTATCCCTTACCCTAACCCTAACCCCAAAGCACGGATTGTATGCTTTATCCCATATGTTTGCTGAATCAATTGCTGCGTAGACTACTGACTACATGAAACTGAAGGGCTACGCTGCAATACATCACGCTGACGCCCAACCCTTGTCGCATACTTCTGTGGTAGTGGTAAGCCCTGCCTCGGTGACATTGTTTCTACTATGCACATTAATCATACTACCATGAAATACAAGTACAACCCTTCCCTACGAGGGAATGCGATAAACGGGTACACCCTTTATCGTGATCCATCAAGATGATTGTGCCGCGTTCAAGGGAGGGTAGAAGGGTGAATCCACACCACTCCCCCACATGTTGGTGATGCCATGCCGAGAGGACCCAACCGCATACCTTAAGTATATGCACCCGCTACGCCTATACTCGATTTTTACAAGTGAATGCTACAGCAGGGGAGGGGAGAGAGTTGCGAAGGTGCTAGAATGTGGTTGTTGTCGGAAAACACTTTGACGTTGCGTTTCGTTCCCGAGAGACAGAAACAAAGACAGACAGCGAGAGACGATGTCCCATGTGCACAAAGACCACCGAGATGATCGCATCGCATAAACTAGATAAGGAGAGAGGAGACAGGGGTAAATGGTTGGGGAGTACACCATACACAACTGCGGTAGCGCTGTATTTTCGTTAGAGCCCCCGGAGCGTCTGCCCATGGGTACAACGTAGGCATAGGGCGGCGGGTGTTGCTACAACTACTGCCATAGTGCTGTTTGTGGGGTGTGTTGGGAATGGATGCACAGGAGCAAGTGCGTACAGTCTTTCATCGACCCGTACACACGGCGGAGCGCTCCCAGCCCACTACCTTGGCCACCACTTACGGATAATTGCCAAAGAAGGACGCGAGGGTTGTCTGGTGACTGAGCGGTCTGTATGACAGCAGTGATCTCGTGCTACAGAAGTAGTCTATGCTGTATCCTATACAGCGGCGATGATGGTCCATTAAAAAATTGAACACAATATACGCACTGCCCATTTACCCGTCTCCTCTGTTGCTTGACAGCCTTTTCTCACCTTGGTCTGTCTCGATGTGCTAATATGCAGGGCAGGCTACACAACTGAGCTGCTTTGTCGCTATGGATGGTGAATGACCGGAATGATGATGACTGGTACGTACCGTACAACGGCGGTAGCATGTTGACGGCAACACGCCCCTACTCATAGTATCACTTGCGGTGCCCCCGAAAACCAACATTGCTGAACACTCCCTGCAGCCTGTTCCACTGCTGCTGTACCCTGGCATTTGGGCTGCTGTGCACATAGGCGTGGTCGTGGAAGGTGCTGGCTCGTGGTGAGCAAGTTCGACGGCCCTTTGTCGGGTATATCGGCACGGGCCTCGAGGAGGTTTGTGCGTGTTATGCAGTGATGAAAATCCCAATGGCGATCCTCTGACCTCTGACGGAAATGTACTGTATTCTAGACATCTCCGTTACGGCGGGGTTCTTCATGGTCAACACCCTTTGCTGCACTGCACGTGTGTGTTATGTACAGTATTGCGTAGGACAAGCCTGGAGTGGTGATGGTCCATGTTTCACTCGTCGCCTTGTCAGCACTATGTAGTATGCGTGTGATAACTGGTATTTCTCAGTTCGATGCTCATCGAACGTATGCAAATCAACCATTATACGTACGGTAGGTGCCCTCACCATCAGTATCAACATGTTCGTTTTCGTTTTCGTACAGTCGACCCCGCTCTAAGGACGCTCGCGTTGAGGAACTCCCCGCTTAAAGGAAACTTGTTTTCATCGGGGGCCCGGTAGAACATACGATAATGGGGTACCCCGTGTTTCTGCCGCGTACCCCCTTATGTTGTGTCCTGCGGGCCTGCGGGTTGCTCTTTGCACGAACCACGCACCACAGTAAGTGCAGAAGTAGCGACGCACAGACAGCAGAAGTAGCGAGCGGTCTGCTGCTGCAGCTGCAACTGGGTGTTGGTATGGATAGATTCCTCCCATCTACCGGCGGTCCATCTGATGCCGCCAACAAAAGAGTCGTGCCTCGTCCCTCACCGAGGGCGAGGTTACCTTTCGCATGGAGGACGTTCGATCCTGCAGATAGCGCCCGCAGTAAAGAAACGTCAAAATCGGTTCGAGCCTCACCAATCAATCCCTTCTTTTGGTCGAAGAACCGGCCCAAGTCGTCCATTTCGTAAATGGCATTTCTTCTTCCTTTGGACTGTCGCATCCTGCCGATTCTCTTAGTCCTTAGACTTTTCTTTGTTCTATCTTTTGATCTCTGAGGACTGCTTGGGGAACTTGGATACAAGATCCGATCTGCAGAGAACATGTGTGCGGGGGGTATACTGTTGGGGGTCCAAGTGCGGCCCCCCTCGTGAGAGTCTGCGCTTGTGTTCACTGAAACAGGACCTGTACTGCCTTCGGTCCGTGCTGGAAGAGCACGTGTGTGTTAATCAAGGATATATATTTTCTGCATCGGTCCTCTGGGTTAACACTGTCCCCAGACAGGCATCATACCGTGGGTGGGCACGGCAACCTCCGTGGGTGGCCACAGCGGTACACAAACACGATTAATCGTATAAGTTCGACCGATGTCGGATTCTGAGGATGCTGCAGGAAAGGCAGCAGCTGCGGAGCGGGCAGCAGCCGCGGAAAGGGCGGTAGAGGAATTCAGCAAGAAAGTCCAACTAGTGATGGACAAGATCGCTGCGTCAGGGAGTGCTGGGAAGGCAGCAGGTGGTCAAGCTGGGTGGGCAGCTGGAGGAGGTGTACATGCCGGGGGTGGGCCGGTTGATCAGGGAGGTTATTTTTTGACAAGGACGAACGGATCGATCCAAATCAAATTTTTTCAGAGAGAGAGGGGAAGGAGCCCCATGTGTGGTACGGTGGACACCAGCAGCAGGTGACGAGAGGAGTGCAGCAGCAGAGCAGCCGCCACAACCAATTCCTTACAGGGCACAGCCGGAACCAGCATCAGCAGCAGCTGGTGCCCAACGAACGCCCACGCCCTCCCGCTGCTCCCCCTCCCGAGCAGCAGCACCAATGCAGCTGCTGTGGAGAGAAAGGTCATGTACATCAGTATTGCAAGTTCAACCTCGCCCGCGGACCGTTTCAGCAGCGGAGGAACGGTGGCTTTGGCGGCGGGTCTGTGTTCCAGCAGCAGCAGCAGCAACAGCAGCAGAAGCCAGGCGTGGTGTATGGCAGCACTGGTGGATTTCAGCAGCAGCCGCAGCAACAACAGCTGGCGGCCGGCTCCACCCGTGGTGTGGTTGGACAGGTGAGTGGTGGGGTGTTTGTTGGCGAGAAGGGGGGGGGGGCTGCTGCCGGTTCGTTTGTGGCGTCTTTGCTGGTAAAAGCCCCCGCCAACGTATCTTCTCCCAACGCAGTTACGCACCCGCCACTTGTTCTCCCCCGCGACCCACGACATCACGTGTAGCATCTGCAGTAGCGCGGAAACGCGCAGAACTGGATCTCATGGAGGCCGGGTACAGTAGAAGTGTAGCAATGCGGCAGATTCCCGGACCAAACCGCTTTGTTGTAGTTTCGCCATTCGCGGCATCGCAACAACCCAAGCAGTTACCGTCGCAGCAGCAGCAGCAGCCAGCAGCCAGCAGCCTCACTTGTGCCATCACCCACAGCAAACCATGCCGATGAGATCCGTCCTGCTGCCCCATCTTCAACTGTTGGGATTTGTGGAACGGCATCCGCACCGGCGGTCGCAACGGCGGTTTCGGCCAGAGCTGCGGCGGCAGGAGTACCGCCACATGGAGCGTCAACGGCAGTGGCTGCGACGGAAACGGCGGCGGTGGGGACAGCAGAAGCAGCGGCGTCCCCGGTTGCCGCGTTGACGCCGGGCAGTCGAGATACGTGCGCCGACAGCGGCGGCCTGACCTGCAGCAGCGGTGGAGACGACGGCATCTACGGTTTCGAGAGGGGCGCGTCGTACCCTTTTGACCCGGGAGGATTATTTGCGCAGGAGGTGCGCGAGGAGGGAGATCACATCAGCGGTGGTAAGGAGGACCGGAGCAGCGGTGGCCGCAGCAGCAGCAGCGGCGACAGCGGAGATGGCGCGGCCTGGCATGGAGCGTCAACGCATCCCTTTGACAGAGGGAAGCGGTTCCCGTGGAGGAGAGCGACCAGGGGGCCCGTGCTGGGAGCGGACCTCCCGTTCGATCGAGGTAAAGATGCATGGGCACATGCCGGGGGGTGATGCTCGCACCAAGCGGCACCAGCGGGAGCGGCGCCAACGGCAACGGCAGCAGTTTGAGCGGGGATAGGAGGGCGCGCGAGCGGGGGGAGAGTTTACCCTTGGCTGTTTCCCCCCCGCCCAACCCTCCCGTGCCTTCCACAGCGCCACACCCGCAGCGAGCCCCGGCGACGCACGCGCAAGCTAATGTGGGGCTGGCACAGCGCCATTTGGGGAGCAGCCGAGAAGCGGGAGATGGATGGTCTGGTTGGGGCGGGCACGTTCGAGCCGGCAGGAGGGCTCTAGCAACGAGGAACGAACGTCATCTCTGCCAAATGGGTCTACACGTGGAAACCTGATGGATTCGGTGATGTTTTGCGTGCAAAGGCTCGGCTTGTCGCTAGGGGTTTCGTTCAGCGTGAAGGTATTGACTATTTTGAGACTTTTATCCCGTGCCCTACCCATCCGAGTATTCGCCTCTTGTCTGCTATCGCGTGTGAAATGGGTTGCGACATGTGCCACTTTGATGCTGATCGAGCGTTTGTGCAATCGAAGTTAGGTGAGATCCTGTACGTGCGTCTGCCGCAGGGTTGTGGGCCCCTTTCGGATAAGACTGTGAGACTTGCCCGTAGTCTTTATGGCGTGAAGCAGGCGTCACGCACGTGGCACCACCACCTTGTTCGGGGCATGACATCTCTTGAGTTTGACCAATGTGCTGCTGATGCGTGTGTCATGCGTTTGATCGAGGATGGTGTGCTTTCCATCATAGTTGTGGTGCATGTGGATGACATCTTTTCCATCGGGCGGAAGAGTCGGTGGGACAGGTTTGGCCGAGACTTGAACGCCTACGTTCCCATCACCAACCTCGGAGCGTTGCGCTTGTGTGCGGGAGTTCGTTTTTCACGCGATTGGGATGCTGGTACGCTTACATTGTCGCAAGAAACTTTTGCTGTCAACTTGGTTGCGAAGTTTGGTGTCACGCGCATCAAGGAGACCCCGATGCCTGTTGGAGTGAAGCTTGACGATTTTTCTGCTGACGAACCTGATGTTGTTGAGCCTTTTCGTTCTTTGGTAAGTCACCTCATATGGCTTGCTATCCAGACTCGGCCGGTTATCCTTAATGCCGTGCGGTCCGTTGCGAGGTATTCCCATGCACCGAAGAGCATACACTGGCAGGCTGCGTTGCACATTGCGATGTACATTAGATTCGCGAGTACTCTTGGTATTACATTTCAGCGGGGTTCAAGGGAGGGTATCGATTTGCGCTTGTATGTTGACTCCGACTATGCCAGCCGGGCCACTGACCGGCGGTCGGTCTCGGGAGCAGTTGTGATGTGCGGCGGTGCATGTGTTTCGTTTTTATCTAGGACGCAGAGAAGTGTGACCCTGTCGTCGAAGGAAGCAGAGAATGTTGCGATGGCTGACGGTGTGAAGGAGGCGATTTTCTTGCGGTATATTTGGGGTTTTATTTTTCCGGGTCGCGATGTCGGGTGCACGCTGCTGTTCGAGGATAACGAGGGGGCTCTTCACCTTGCGGTCAACCCCGCCACCACATCGAGTTTAAGATTGTGCATGTGCCCACGACTTTTCCGCATGCGGACTTCCTCACGAAACCGTTGCACAAGAGCGCGTTTTGCTTCCACCGTGATTTTGTGATGAATATTCAGGAAGCATTTTTTTTCTGTGGACGCGTTTCCTAAGCTGTGTTTTGCGTCGAGAATTAGGGGGGGATGGCATGTGTTGTCATGGTTCCAATGATTCCAGACGCAACACTAGCGAATGCGTATATGTTTTTCTTGTGTTTGCAGGGCGCGTTTCAGCTGGGGAGCTGTCTCATACACTTTGATGTTTTGAGATCTTCTGGTGGTTGAATAGGAGGGGAAGAAAACGCAGGCAGATCTGTATGTATGTCTCGGGGAAATGTTCCTGCTGGGGGGCTGTTGCGTATTGATATTGGTACTGAGAGAAGGGTGGCACAAAATTTGCATGTTTCGGGAAATGTTGCGGCAGGGGAGCTGTTTGCATGGATAGTTGCTTGTATTTCTATCGTCTCTTGGACAACAGCTGAGGCACTGATAGCACGTACGCGCTGTTTAGGATTTGGTCCTTGGACGCTATATTGGAGGAAGGGTTTGACATGTTTTGACGAATAATGGTTGGGGCCTTTGTGCTTTCCGAATGCTTG